AAAAAAAAAAAAAAAGGAGCTCTGGTGGTGTAGTGGGAAAGACGTTTGGCTGCTAACCAGAAGGTCAGTGGTTCAAACCCACCAGGTGTTCCATGGGTGGAAGATGAGGCAAACTACTTCTGTAAAGATTTATAGCCTTGGAAACCCAATGGAGGGTTGCTATGAGTTGGAATCGACTTGATGGCAGTGAGGTAACATTAAGTCTTAGTTTTGTAATGTAATTTAGTTCAGAAACTAGATAACATGAATACATCTTAGAAATGGTTTAGCTATTCCCTTAGAACATCTTCACTTAAACAATTGTTCCACTTGGCCCTGGAAGAAAAAAAAAAAAATCAGACTCAAAAATCCAAATATCTGGTGTGATTGAAAGGAAATCCATTCTTGCCTGTGGATGGCAATTTTTTGTTTTCATATGAAAATTCCATTTTCATATGGAAAAATTTTAATAATTTTTACTGATATTCTCAAGTGAGTTGAGAAGTATTTGTTAACCTGTTCAAGACTTCTTACAAAACATAGTTTGTTTTTGTTTTTTTTTATCTAATCAAATGTTCAAACAGCCTTTAAATCAAGCCCCGGATTCTGTAACTAATGCACACTTCTAGGAATGTTTCCCAAGACACACCTGTAGGAAGTAACCATTTATAAGAACTAACACTCTTTGAGCTCTTGCCATGTATGTTAAGTACTCTGCAGGAGTGATCTCATTTAATCCTTCCAAAAGCTTTATGACACAGGTCCTATTTTGATCCACCTTTCATCCGTGAGAAAACTAAGATAAGAGAATTTGCAAGTTTTAGGAAGTAAAAATACAGGACACCAATTAAATTAGAATTTAACCTGAACATTGAATAATATTTTATTATTATAAGTATTCTAAATATTGCATGGAACCTATTTATACTAAAAAAAAAATCATTGTTTACTGAAATTCAAACTTTAAGTCATCCTGTATTTTATCTGGCAACTGTATCCAACTCATAACAACCCTCTTTTGGGTTCCATAAAACAGTAAATCTTTACGGAAGTAGATTGCCCAGTCTTCCTTCTTCAGAGTGGCTGGTGGGTTTGAACTGCCAACCTCTGGTTAGCAGCCAAATGCCTTAGGCACTAAGCCACCAGAGTTCACCTGGCAACTGTACCCAAGGTCAAACAATAATGAATCTTATATACTAGCCTGGTTAGTCTGCCTCAAAGACCCTGTGTTTAACCATAATGATGTACTGAAAAGAACATTTTAGCATTATTCTTTATAGTACTATAAAACTGGAAACTAACCCAAATCCTCAACACTAGGATAATGGATAAGTAAACATTATACATTAATTTGGTCATTCCAGTTGTGAGGATTTTTGTTTTTTTTTTACATTCAGGTGTAATACATATTAAATGCTTCAATTTTTTATCTTCATCAGTAAGCGCTTCAAGTCATCTTCATTTTCAGCAAGCCAAGTTGTGTCATTTGCATATTGCATGCTGTTAATGAGTCTTCCTCAACAGTTTCTGATTTCCTTTAGTTTGTCCTCTGTATTGTCTTTTAACTCTTTGAGTATGCTTATTTTTGTTGCATTAAGGTTGTTATCAGTTGATTCCATTATTTGTCTTTTCTTGGAGATGTTTCTGTCCCCTTAGTTAGTTTTTTTGCATGGGCCATTATTTCCTTCCTCTTCACATGCTTCAGCTTACAAAATTAAAGGAAATCAGGAAAACAATATAAGAACAAAACAAGAAATTCAACAAAGAGAAATAATAATAATAATGGAGTTAGAAAGT